CGCCGAAAGACATCGATCCCTGACCACAGCGCTCTTTGGGGGCGACCAAGCTGGAGAGAGGTGTTGACGAGTGTGGAGGGTCCATTTGGTTGGATGTTGGTGCATCACTGGAAAAAAATAAAGACACACATACATGTCCCAGAATGGCCTGGATCAAACGTGCATTCATGTTATAGTTATGTTGCAACTTTTCAGCCTGTGGAACCAACTGTGACAGTTGGTAGAGGTTGTGAGGCAGAAACTTGTGCTTGAACACACTAAGGTCAAAAACTCGAAGAAGGCCAGGTCGCTCCGGTACGGACGGGCCACGTCCGCTGGAAAACCCCTCTCCTCGTCTCCGCTCGTTCGCCTCATGCAGTGGAACCCTTGTTGGGTGCCGGGAGCAGATGGCTTCAGCCGACATGCAGTTTTTTGGGACCGAAAGAACGCCTGAACCGAAAGTTTGCATCCAGGGAGTGTTAAAAACTGAATGCATTTGGCTTCAAGTGAAGATCCATCCAATGGGATATCTCACACCCCAGACGTGCCAAACTAAGCACCACTGTCAAAAGCAGTTTTTTTGTCTGTTGGACAAACATTGATGCAAACCGCTGGATGGTCATCCAGCAGCCGAGATAGGCTTTTACTTGAATCAGATATACCTGTTGGATTGTTGGTACTTGTACTTGAAAGTCAGGAGTCAGGAGTTATACTTAATAAGTTATAATACTGGACTCCTTTTCGATCCTGTTTGCTTATGTTCTGCTGGTTTCTTTGTGTGCTTTATTTCAGGAGTTATACTCCTCCTTGACTCGGTTATATATATTCTGTTGGCTTTTGTGTGTGTCTTGGGGGCTTCTAGATATGCTACAACCCACCCCGGGTGCTTCATGGACGCCTCTCCACCGAGCGACACGTCACCGGTTCTGCTCGGCCGGGCCGGGCCGCCGGGCCGTGCTGCACAGGCCGAAGCCAATGCCAAGACGGCCAAGGAAGAGCACAAGGCGGAGAAGGGGAGGTCATGTTGTGTTGCACGTCAGAGTGTCCAGGTGTTTGGTTGGGAAATGGACACGGGTGGGGGAACAACAGCGAATGTGAACGCATAGGCAAATGACATAAAATGACTCCAAACCACCAAGCTGACAGGACAGGAACACTTTTTTGGACATCTCAGTGGTTAGGCATTAGGAATTCGCAAGTTTGAGACACCCAGAATCATCCAGCTGCATTTGCTTTGACAGCGACCGTTCCATCCCGACCGGTCGTACGGTCGACCCGAGCTCCGGTGATTTGCGGTCTGATCGGCGGCGATGTGCGTCGTTTGTGTGCGCCTCAAGTCTTAGACTGCTACCCTACACACCACCTGCACAATAGACCTGCAGGATCTCCACCTGTTTGAGGGGGCCCCCCTTACACGAAAAAAACAACATGACAACCCATCGGCTCCAGTCGGTGTATCAACTCCTGGATTGCGCTGCTTGTGCCCCAGATCTGTGCTCAGGTGGCGGAAAAGACCTTGAAGTGACTGGGACCATGCAGAGGAAGGCAGTCAAATTCTGCGGTGTCAAGGTGCTTTTGTCCAGTTGGATAGGTTGCATCTAGGCAGTCTAGGCTTGGATTCATCATCGAATGGTTTCAGCTGGCCCGGAATGTTGGAATGAATGATACACCCCCAAACTCACCTTACGAATTAGAGGTGAGTCAACAATCCGTTCCTTATTTGGAAGGTTGATTTCGATTTCCATCAGGGCTATCGAAAGAAACAATTTGCGTCAACTGATCCACATACCCTGTGAGAGGGTGATGTGTAAACAACACTTTGATGTACAGTACGCGAGTTGTGAGGGTAAAACATGTCATACCTTCGAAACTCGAAGGCAGAACCATACTTGTTTTGGATCCCTAGGTCCACCATCTTCCACCCATTCAATCGGCTGGGACTATCTACCTTTTAAACCCAACAGATATGAATTGATCATGTTTGATGGCTCCATTTGACCCGAAGACATTGTGTTCCCGTGGAAAACACCTTGTGTGTCTGTGTCACCTTGTTTGTGTTTTCCAAAACACACAGTTTTTGAAACCGCATGAAGACTTGTGTAAAACTCAAAAAGACCATAAAAAGCCCGCAGAGACCCGTAGACAATCATATTGTCTTCAGGCAGTCAACAAAAAAACTGCAAGAACTCGTGTATTTTCAGGGTCAGGGTATGACGTTTTTGCTGGTTCTGCTGGGTTCTCTTGGTATTGTCCACCTTTGTAGCTGAGAGTCAGATCATGGCGCACAGGGGCTGGGTCCAAGTTTGATGCACAACAGTTGATTGAGGAAGCTGAAGGAGGAACACTCGAAGCTGGATGACAAGGCGGAGGTGGTGTTGAACGAGTACAACAAGCTGTAGCTGGGCGAGCGATAGGCTAATAGGGCGACAGGGGGGGAAACAAAACAGGCAGCAGGCGGCGACAGGGTGAAGCAACCAGCGTCAGCGGGTGCGAAGGGAGCAAAGGAAGAACAGGAGCTGCTTAATTACATCATACCCTAGGGGTCCACAGACCTTCTCAGATGATAATTGGACCGACCGTCACTTTGCCTACACAAAAAATGCGTCTCCAATCACCCTGTCAGAGGGTAGGTGGATCCATGTTGATAGCCAAGTTAAATGGAGTTTGCTAAAGGGGAAAGGCTTGCAGTTCCAGGTAATTAAGTTGAAGTAACAGACCCTCCCAGCACGGAATCACACCAGTCCCCGTTGCCCCTGTCCAGAATTTGGGCCTTTCCAGTGTGATGTTTGACTCATCTCCCATATGAAATATGGACGAATCCAGAGACAACTCGACAAAGAAACTGGAGATATCATGAGATGTTCCATTTCCCAAGCAAAGAAAACACGCCAGAGAGTGTTGAGTCGTGAGGGGGAGACCCATGGGAGACCTTCCAGGCAACGACACGATCCCCCTAGAAGAAGGAAAATAGACCAGTCTACCCAGCCAAGGCCAGGGGGTCTACCCAGCCAGGGCCAGGGGGTCTCCCTATTGCAATCATATGCATCCATGTATAAGCCTGACGATGTCTGAAATACCTATAGATACCAGTTACTATCTAATGGTGATTTGGGAAGGATCTCTTTCTGGACTCTCCCTGGATCCGGTCCTGTTGACCTTTGTGTTTGGATTTCTGAAAGAAGTCCTGCACCACCTGGAGCCACAAAGCTTTAAATGTCAATGCTGCGGCTTTCTACCAGGGCTTTGGCCTGCTTTTGGGGTGTCTTTTTTGCTCCTTAGAGGTGATTTGGGGTTTTGGTGAACCACCCCAAACAGGCGGTCCTGGTACGGTTTCCTTTATCTCACGTGGTGTTGGGTGCATTTGGCACTCCATGTGCACCAGATTCTTTCCTTTCTCAGGAAGGATACCCTCACCGAGAAGGATGTGGTGCTCACCCAGCTGCGGGAGAAGCGGGATGAGGTCCGGAGGATGGGAGAGCGGATCAGTTGAAGGAGCTGCACTACAACCCAGTGGATTCCAGTTATACCACTATCCTATATATGGCACCCATATGGCACCCTTTGGGTCAGGGGATCCAAGTTACAGACTACAATCCACTGCACTGTAAAATAAGGAGCCAGGGTTTCTAGGTCTATGGATGGTGTGGCCTTTGGAACCACTGGTTAGCAGCTATGGTTGGTGACTATCCACTGAGTATAGTGACCCTCGTTCGCACCACCCCGTTCGGGTGGTGACCATGTCCAGTGTCCCATCATGTCCCATAACTGCCGAACTGAGTGGATCCGGAGACCCAGCGGACCGTGACGCGCAAGCTGCATAGCGGCATAGCTGGTGCTCATCACGATCTTCCGTGACCGGTCCCGATCGATCCCCCCGGTGCGAACCGGAAGAAACGGCCGAAGCGGCCTGCTTCCGTTCGGTCGGCCTCTTTGGGCTGTTGGTGGGTTGATTGAAAGAGGGCCTATACATTCATGGCCTCGCCCGGAGTCCTTGACCGGCCCTTCCTCGCGCGTTTCGAGGTCATCAAGAAGGCCAGTGCACTGAAAAGCCAAGAGGTGGACCTGGTCAACGAGATGGAGGCCGTCGAAGAACGAACGTAGCGAAAAAAAAAAAAAGGCTCCAGTGATGATCACGTTCTTGAGTAGTTTTGTCACCCGGCACGTGCGAACCGTTTTGTGCGCCCCTGCATAGACGTGCTTGTCCCTTTTTTATGAGTTTGGGATTGGGGAATGAGATCCATTTGGATCAGGTTCAATGCGAAATCATACGGCAGTTGTAGGTAAACTCTCGCTGTCTGTCGACGTTTCACTAAGTCCCGCTGCAGACCACCCCCTCCCATCACGTCGTCTTCCAGGTGAAGACTCGTACCCTGCGAGAGCTCCATGGCCGGATCGCGGGGTGGACCAACAAATTGCAGGAGCGATCATGAGGATCTGAGTTGACTAGGGGAAAGTCCACAGGGAAAGCCAAAGAGTACCCTCCCCCCAACCATCATGGAAGTGGACCACCGATTCCTCGAGTGCCGCTTTGCTTTCGATTGCTTTGCCAGTGTGATGCAAGCAATGAGGAGATGGGCTACGTATGGCTAAGTGGAAAACCCACAGTCTCATTAGAGTATAGTTGGTCCAAGTTCAATTGGCTAGTCGCATGGCCATGCTTTGAAGCTAACAGTAACTTCAGTATTAAGTCAGGTCCCCAAATATCAAAAGACATGATGTCCAATACTTAGAAGCTCGGGATCACTGCAAAGCTTCTCGTATTATATATATGTTATACCATGTTAGATATACCACTGTTTTTATAGGAAACAACCATATATTTGGATGGTTTGTGATCCAAAATAGAGGTCACTCAGGTAAATCATCCAACTGTTGATCGTCTCTCGAACATCACCATGACCTCTTTACCCCACCAATTTGGACAGCCTCCGACCTCGCAGGAGGCCCGAAAGGACTACGCGCAATTGCCCTTGGACTTCTTGAAAGAGCTGCGCGAAGCCGACTCCGAACGTGTCTCCAAGATGGAGGAGATCGAACTTCGGATCCCGATGGGTTCGGCCAACCTGGGCTCCTTCCTATTGGCCCAATGTCTTCTGTATATAGGGGTTGTTGGTGCAAATGCCCGGATCTCCACGTTCAGTTCAGGCTTCCTACGATCCATCGGATCTGTTCTCTAAATCCGGAGGAGATGGCCCGGAAGGCCATTTCTGCGGAGCTCACGGAGAAGGAGCTCAATAAGGCGGAGCTGAGTTGCTTCAGGGAGGTCTATATTCTGTATATATCTTGGGTTTACCTGTAACAGTCATTAATCAAGGCCTGTTTGAACAAGGCCTTTACTATGTTTGAACAAGGCCTGCAACCTAACCATCATCATGCACCATTAATTACTGTACTGGTAGTAGGATAGACCCAATGTATATCCATGTTAAACATAGAACAAAGTCGAACAATGACACTTGTGGGTCCGCAATTCCTAGAAGTTAAAGGTAGATGACCCGCCTCAGGCCTAACGGAATATTCCCCTCTGTAAGCCCCATGGCGACCCCAGTGAATTGGACATTTTTCAGGGGGGGTCAAGGCGGCCTTGCTGTGGGTATGCGCGGTATGGGGACCCTGTACCCCAAATGTCTGCGGGAAACCACCGGTCAAAAGCGTCCATCATGGTCCTTCGCCTGTGCTTGATACCCTTCTAGTTTGAAGGAAAACATGGAGTCTAGTTTCAGAGAGAGCGGATCTTCTCAGGCTATCTGAATTGATTTTTTACATGTGTGATTTGTGTTTCTCTTTAGTGTGCTCCAGCAAAACATGTGCCAACCACAAAACTTATTGGCCACAGCCAATACAGAGTCATATCGTTTGTACATGGCCTCATCTTGATGATTCTCATACAATCTGTGCCTGGTGTAATTGCCATTACTATCCATTACCTACTATCTGTGAAACAGTGTACCTGTGCAAGACACTCTGATCTGTGTACAAGAATGACCCCCAGAGAAACATACAACACCAGTTCAATTGCAGACAGACACTGGGATGAGGATACTGATGCTTCCAGCCCATTCCAATCTAGTAATTTTCATCGGGAGTCTGATGCTTCCTATCCTGGCCCACTCACTGAACAGAGTACATACCACTTGGAGGTTCTTTGTGTTTAACACTGCTCAAGTGGTCCTCAGCAGGTCCTCCATCGATGTCCTCCATCAATCTATCCACCCGTATGTGTTCGCATGGTCAGTCCATCAGACACCGACGTGCCGTGGAAGCCCTGCGAGGTCTCAGTGGAAGAGGTAGATGCCCGGATGACCAGCTTGGAGGGAGACATCAAGAACTTAAAGCCCAACCTCGGTGCTATTGAGGCGCGGAGGGTTTGGGAATCACGAAGTGACGGAGTGAAAATCTAGACAGCTGGTCGGCAGCGACCAAGTGGATTTGCCCAAGCTGGCAGTCAGCTTATTGCCCCATGAACTGTTGCTTGCAATCACATGTTCAAACACCAAGCAGGTGCTTCGTTGGTCCCAGCAGGCAATCTTGGCATGTTGAAGCAAGCATTGTATGCTGATCAATATCTTTTTATTGCATGCTATTGCATGCATGTATACGGAGTGGTTTCAGCTCTTGTCAGAATTGGCACAAGCACCGTCCGCAGGAGTTCCGCCGCGCCGATGGGGAGCATCGTACGCGTCTGGCGGAGTATGAACAAGTGCACAATGACCGCGAGGACTGGAATGGTAAACACAGAAAACAATCGGTCACCACATGTTTGTCTTACATTGCTCATTTTTTTTGTTTCGGTCAGTGACATGCAATTAAGCTGTTCATGATGTTTAGCATGCATCATATGCATCGCATGGAGACGATAAGTGCGTTATGGCATTCATATTGCTTCTAGAAGATCCACGTGACAAACATGATGGTCTCATGCTGGCGCAGACGATGAACAGCTAGATCATGGATGGGACCCGGACACACGGAACTTCGGCGTGGGCTCTGTCTAGACACCCGAGGCCCAGACACCCAGGCACGGGTGTCATAGACACCCAGGCACGGGGGGACTCTGGAATTCATTCACCACACTCCCTGAAATTATCATCATTTCGTTTTGAGTGCACCAGTAGGGGCCATGGTCTTCAACAGTCATCCACCTTCTACCGTGAAACATCTCAGGGAGTTGGCTGTGTATTAGATAAAGAGACCTCCCGGTTCTTTGTCTCTTTCCAGAAGGAAATGAGCAGTCTAGCCAGCAGTCTCTCTGGACATGTGTATGGATGGCCCAGCGGGGTTCATGGTCCGGTCAAGACGATCTGTTTCATGGAGAGACCACGGAGCACCACTACGGATTTGTTTTTGTTCCATGTGTTTTGGCCCAACCTGCCAGGAGGCTCGTAGGAAGCTGGAACAACTTCGGCAGCAGAGAATGAAAGAGTTCCTTGTCTTGGCAGAAGAAGGACGTTGTGCGAAGCACTCCAAGCTCGACCCGCCTGGAAAGTGGATGTGGTTGACCTGATGTTGTAGAAGTTATATAACTCCTTTGTAAACTCATGACATGTTTGGGATTTTGCACCATGAAATGAACATATTTGTTTTGCTGGAATCCTACCTTGGGCTTCAGATGGTGGGGAATTTGCATGGGTGGCATGAGACAACGTGAGTGAGGGAATATGACTGCAGGGGGTCATGCTTGTTGACCGATGTGGAAACCTATTTAGATATGGACATTGGGAGCCTGGTTGGTAGCGTGGTGCCAGTGTCTTTCCTGTCAAAAACAATAATCCACTTGTGCCTGTACTATATCATATTTATCCATTTAAGAACCATAAGAAGATGCTAGACATTGAGAAGATATATGAAGGATATGATATGATTAAGAACCAGAAGGATTGCTATACATGAAGGACATGGTTGCTTTCCATTCAGAAGCATCAGACATGGAAGGCTTCATACTGGCAATGGATTGATCACCGGTGACATCAAAGCATCAGGTTCATGGAAGGCTTCAGCGTCATCTCCATGAAGCTCAAGGACCCAACAGCGCCGGTCCGGGCGTGGGCGTCATCTCCACGGTGCCTGGGCACGTGGCCAGCGAACAGCGTGAAGCTGCACCCATTTGCTAGTCATGCTGTGCTATTCCATCAAAGACCAGCAGGATCTACCGTCAACTGCTTCAGACACGACCTGCCGTATGACCGACTGGATAGCAAATATGTCATTCAGTGGTGAGTGAGCCAAGCCATAGTCAGGTGCTCTTTGGCATTGAACATCCTTTAGTCATTTTAGTAATAAGTAACCTTAGCTTTACTTGATTATTTTCACCAGCTACACTCCCTGAAAAAGGCATGGAATTGGACCATGCCCAAAAATGAATGGCATTTTGTTCCGCTGCACATGTGTAGTGCTCCACCATGAGAAATCAGGGAGCGTAACATCTACAGCATGGAGACACACGAAAACGCCACTCTTCTGGTGAAGCCTTTGCTGTTGGCCTTCGAGCGAAGCCACCGACGCGACCTCGCGACATCCCAACGGAGGCTGAAGAACCCGAACGTTCGACTATCCCAGCATAGGTACCCCAGGTGACGGGTCCGAACGTTCAGGTCATTGAACCTCTCTTGGTCGACCAAGTGAATCTGGAATGTGGGCACTTCTTCAGCTCCTCATCCTTCGACGTCCGAAAACGACGCCGAAGTGACGAAAACGACCGTCGATCCGCACAAAATGGGAAGTGGACACATGGATCTAGGCAATATAAAACGACGTCACCGACGTCACCTGAAATTAACGAGCAAGCTGAAATTAAGGTATATGGTCATACTAACATCACACACACACGCAAAACACACACACACTTCATCGACTTCACAGTCCTGGCAGAGATTTTGGAGGCGCGGGCGGGCGTGGGCACTGGATCTAGGACTGGATTTGCATGGGGAAGAGGATGTCAGTCAGTTGGAGTTTTGCTTGAGTTTTCGGGCTCGAGTTTGCAAAAAAATAAGAAGTCATGCCTCACCTGCTCACTCTCCACACCACTAAAAAACACTGCCCAATTTCGAGGTCGGGAAGTTTTGAAGTTCTTTAAGTTGTGCCCCCCATGAAGCGGCCCTCCAGCCATGATGAGTGCCCAACAACACCTACGGACCGCGTTCGGCCAAGCGTGTTCCCTAGCCCCAAAGCCTCTCAGAGACGGGCCATTCAGCCAGATCTTGTGGACCGAAAAGATCCTTGGAACTTGAAGTAGTGATGGTTTGGTTGTTTTCCCTTTCACACCCAACCTGACTGGTTCTTTCCTGGCCAAATCGTTTTTGGGCCTAGTTCGCCGAACTAGGATTTGAGGCCTGGCGGCCTTGAAAG